GAGCCCTCCTGGGTCCTCCTGTATTCTGCTGATCACATATGGCACACCCAAGCAAGAAGACCCTCCATGGGGCAGTTTTCCCAGCCCACCTTTGGGTTTATCTTTTACTTGAGGATGGATGACCTTGCAGCTTTTGCCCTGTGGGGAAGCAGGAGCCTAGGGCCTATCTCCAGAACGAATGATACCATGACAGACTTGTTCCACATCAAGGAGGCTCCTCAGGAGGGTCACCTCCTCAGGGGCCCCACGCTAACATATCTTACCAGTTTAATCTCTGGTACCCCAAACTCAGCAGCCCCCATTCAACTTCCTGAGTACCCCCAATGTCCTATTCTGCCCTGTCAGATTGTCCTGTCAGCCATCCTAGGAGATGGGCACTGTAGTCACCTCCATATGTCCAGTGGAAGTTGGGGAAGACATGTTCATTGGCTGAGAGGATCACAGAACAGGACTTCCGCTCTGCACTGGAGACCTTGTGGCCTTGGCTGACCCTGGTAGGTCTCTCTCTCTCATATGCCCACACCTCCGCCTCGTACCCCAGGGAAGCTGAGCCAGCCTGCCAGCATTCAAGTCCCAACTATGCCAAGTATTAGCTGGGTAACCTTGGGAAGTTACCCTAATGTCTCTGAACCTCAGTGTCCTCATCTGTAAAATGGATCCCCAAAGAGCTCTTGTGAAGATTAAAAGAATAATTGTGTATAAAGCCAGGGCCCCACTGTCTTTCTGGACAGGGTGGGACTGTGGAGGTGAACAAATAAGCAGCACGTGTGTGAAGTAAAAGCTGGGCTCTTGATAGCCCAGGGTATCAGTCTCTAGTACAGTCATCCTCCCGGGGATGGGGCCGTACAAGTGGTAGTGGCAACAGTCAACAATAGGCAGCTATGCAAGACTGACCTGCCATCACCTGAAGAATGGATGCAAAAGATGTGGCACTTTTATACAGTGGAGTATAACTCCATGAGAGAGAGAGAGAGAGAGAGAGAGAGAGAGAGAGAGAGAGAGAGAGACTCAAGGCTTTTATAGATGAACAGATGCAACTAGAGACCATACTCATAAGTGAAATAAGTCAGACCCACATGTGAGAACATCATATTGTCTCCCTAGCACAAGAACCTAAAAGATTAGAGACAGATGGCTGGTCACAGCATTTGGGAGGCTGTGGCAAGAGGACCGTTGTGATTTCAAGACCAGCCTACAAAGTGAGCTCAAGGCCCGCCTGAACTGCATAGTGAGACCCCGCTGCAAAAGCCAAAAAAGAAGGGGCCGGGGAGATGGCTCAGTAGGGTAATTGCTCGCTTGGGAAGCACAAGGGCCTGAGTTCAATCCCCGGTTCCGAAAAAAAAAAAAAAACAAAAAAAACAAAAACAAAAACAAAAAACCAAGAAAAGAAACTGAAAGTGTAAATAGAATTTGAAAGGTACAATAGATACTGTGAAAGGGAAAGAAGCTGTTCAAAGGGACGGAATAGCTGGGATGAGGGAAAGGGGAAGTGGGAAATACATATATGTGTACAGGATAACTTGGATAGCTGTACGGCTGATTCCTGCTGGTCTATTGAAAGGGGCAGTTAATGCTTAATTTTTTTCTCCTTTTTATTTTTTTGTCCAATTTTGTATACTTGTGTATGGTAATCTGAACAACTAATTTGAAAACAACAATATACAATATAACAACCATTGTTGAAGTCCTATCACTTTGTTCATTGAAATTTTGTATCATTTCTTTTTTTTTATTTTTTTACTTTTTTTTTTACTATTTTCTATTCTCTTAAAAATATAAATAAACAAACAAATTGGGGCTCTGGAGAAAAAAAAAAAAAAAAAAGACTGACCTGAGTCGCATGTGCCCTCCATACCCAGTCAGCTGCCCTGGATGTGAGCCATGCAGACCCTGGTGGAGCCTCCCTCCCATCCATAGAGTGAATTGAGAGGTGCAGGAGCGCAGTCCTTCCTCCCCCAAAGCACCAAGAGTTGGTGGGCCCCCCTGTGCTTGATGACAGATGTGACATCACTTCCCTGGATGTGAGTCATTCTTTCATTTCCCACATAGTCACTGCACAGGGATAGACTGGAAGAGACGGCCCTACTCTGGACAAAAACCACTCTAACAAATATGAAGAGGTTGGTCAGGGAGAGCTTCCTGGAGGAAGGTGCACAAGACCATGATTTGCAGAGATCCAAGAAGTTCCCCTGGGATAATGACAGGTGGGAAGAAGAAAATAGAATTTAAGGCAGACCCTGGCAAGTGTGGGGAGAGAGATGCGGGGGTTGGGCTAGATGAACGGGAAGACTGAGGTCCTCAAGCAGCGAATGACTCTGGGGGCGCTGACGGGCACGATTTGGATTTTCTTTCGTGGAGAGGTTTCACTCAGAGATTCAACTTGCCCCATG